AGACGGTGCATTAATCTTACACACCACATATTTGTGGACAGCACCAACGTTTCGCACCGCGAGGGCCCGGTTCTGCTTCGCTAGCAAAATGGCCCCTTTCCACGGTGCTTTTTCCACGTGCTTCTGGAACCATCATCCGTCCCGCCGGTGCCACCGAAAAGACACACCCAGCCCCTCGTTTCTGAACGTAGGACACCCCGCTCTCAAACTTTCTCTTTTGTCCAAAGATTGAGGTGCCTGGTAATTTGGAAAATAACTACAGCTTCCCAAGTCCGGAGCCCAGACCCAAGCATACTGTGAAAATAAGGACCTCAGACGCGCGGATCCAGAAGTGGGGTGACTGGAGCCAGCCCGTTGAGTTTGGTATGTGTCCTGGGAGCGTCCCTGAGTTCATCTCTGAGCCCTTCCCATCCCAGTGCTGGCCCTTGTCCCTGTCCCCATCCCTGTCCCTGTCCCCAGAGACTCCTAGAGGGAAGAGTTCCCCGCCCACGGGTCTCCATGGGACCCAGGACCTTCAAAGAAAGGCACAACCCACCCAGCCTCCGAAGGGGCTGCCTCAGCTGGAAATGATCAATCACTCCTGGTCCCCATCAACCCCGTTCCGGTCATGATCCCAGCCAGGGGAACCCTGACATCAAAGTCGAGCGTGTTTTGGCCTAATCAAGACGTAGCTATTCATTCCAGGGAACTCAGTTACCAACACCTTCCACCACCTTCTTCCCTGGAACCTTTATGGGTTGGCACGAATTTAATGGTTTGGACCAAAAGCCAATTGGGTACTCGAGAAATCTGCATTTGCACACTAACCCTCCCTCTCAAATATTTTCAAAGTGTTTCAGCAAGCATTTTATGCATATAATTTTATGGATTTTTTTTTTCCTGATCCAAAAACGGAGACTTTAACAAGGGCTGGTATAAAATGTATGTGAAATGTTTATCTAGAGGTAAAACATAAGTTCAAAGAGATGGGATAGTGGGTTCTTAGCTATGACTCCAAAATGAGGAACAACAAAATTAAAAAAAAATAGGTCAGCAGGTGTTCATCAAAAATAAAAACTTCTGTATCATCTGGAATGGGCACTTTTTTAGCAAATGTATTATTATCAGTAGTAGTATTAGTATTATTTTGTAAGAGGGCACATTTCATATGTTAATATGGAAAACTCTCAAAACGCCAGACCCTCAATCTGGTTATGGTCATCCTGATGGGACTGGCTTTTTGTCTTGTTTTGTTTTTGTTTTTAAAGATTTTATTTATTTGAGAGAGAGAGACACGGCGAGAGAGGGAACACAAGCAGGGGGAGTGGGAGAGGGAGAAGCAGGCTTCCCGCGAAGCAGGGAGCCCGATGCGGGGCCTGATCCCAGGACCCTGGGATCATGACCTGAGCCGAAGGCAGACACCCAACCGACCGAGCCACCCAGGCGTCCCAAGGAACTGGGTTTCTTACTTGGATTTTTTAAAATTGGACTCTTTAAATAGTAACAGATAAAATGTGCCCTGTTACAGAAATCACGAGTTGTAAAAAGTGCACATTCCAGATGATAAGCAACACGGAAGACCTAATACTAGCCGTGACGTAACTTTACTCAAACCGTATGCCTGGAAATGTGTTGCTTTGGGAGGGAGGGGGTCCGTTTTTGTCCATTTATTTATTTTTAAATTTTTTTCTTAATTGATTTTTTTTTTTGGTCCCATTTTTTTAAATCAGGTCGTCACGTTGCCAGAGCGCGTTATGGTCTGGACGTTCATGAAGTTGCTTTGGCTCACGGAGGTTTGCGGGAAGGTTTCGGGATGGGCACTTTGCTGCGCATTTCCCTCCCGCTCCGAGCCTTTCTCGTTAGCCGTGAGCCGGCGAGGGAACGAGCAGGCCGTGCGCTGACCGTTCATCCAAAGCGGTGTGTCCCCCTCTCTCCGCAGGTTCCGAGGAAACCGCGCCCAGCCTCGTGCCCATCTATGTGCTGGTGGTCCTGGGGACCCTCATCACTGCCCTGGTCCTTGGCTGCCTTTTGAAAAGGTAACGCCCGCTGGTGGGTTGACATCCTCCTTGCAGATGGGCAACACAGACGGGGCGCTGGTTCGGGTGGAGCTCAGGGAGCCCACTGGTGTGACAGTCCTCCAGGGAGGTCTAGCGGGCAGCCAACGGGGGCTTTGTCCTGACCCCTGAAGGGCAGCCCTGGATGCACATTCTTGGGATGCTTCCAGGCCCCTGGGCCATGCTGAGCCTACCCGTCTGGGCCTCACATTTCAGGTGGACACTGGACCTCCTCTGAGGGTTTGCATTCAGTCCCACTGAGCTTCCCCTTTCTGGAATGCCTCCCCCCTCAATCCCTCATCTGGCCTTTCATTTCCCCCTATAAGTCTTACCGAGTCCTGGAATCCTCGGGGCCCGCCAAAGCCCACTCCCTTCCCCGAGGCCTCCTGGGAGCCCAGCCCGAAGCTTCACATGCACATCTCACTGCTTACCATCAGCCTCTCCGTGGGCTCGTCTGTAGGCAGCTACCGAGTGTTCTCAGATGTGTGATCTCAGCACCAAGCAGGGCCTCGGGGGCACCTCACAAATGCCTCTGAATGAACATGCATACGGGGAAGAATTAATTCTTTAGTTGCAAGCAGATTGCACGGCATGCTTTGCAAAGCATGGAGAGTTTTGCCACTGGTGATCTTCCTGCACCCTGTGGGGACCCAGGGGGTGTCCTCCTGTGCGCACCCCTCGATGCCCCCACCCCCCGTCCTGGTTGGGCGTCCTGTGTGCATTTCCCTCAGGATGGACACGCGTGGCTAACTGCACAGGGATGTAGCCTAAGGACAAGGACTCTGCCCTGTCTGCTGGATGCTGCGGTGGCCGCATGGCACCACCCCGTGCTCTGGGGACCCTGGACCTGGGGGCAAAGGGAAACAGGGGCAGCCCCACAACCTGCTGCCGGAACGGGGACGGAGCGCGTGCTTTACCCAAGGACAGTTATCTTAATGAAAAGCTGTTTGAGTTTCCTGTGGCCACAGGGGAAAAAATGACCACAAACCAGATGGTTTGAAACAACAGAAATTAATCATCTCCCAGCTTTGGAGACCAGCAGTCTGAGATCCAGGCAGGGCCGCTGAGATCCAGGTGGGGCAGGACCCCTGAGATCCAGGCGGGGCAGGGCCGTGCTCCCTCCCAGAGGCTCCAGGGGAGGGTCCTCCCTGCCTCTCCCAGCTTCTGGGCTCCAGGCGTCCCTGGGCCGGTGGCCACGTCCCTCCCATCTCTGCCTCCGTCCTCACGTGGCTTCTCCTCTGTGTCTGTGTTTCCTCTTCTGTGTCTTATAGGGACAACTGTCATTGGATTTAGGGCCACCGTCATCCAGGATGAGCTCATGTTAACTTGATTACAACCACAAAGATCTGATTTCCCAACAAGGTCCTGTTTCCAGATTCCGGGGCTCAGGACTTGAATATATATTTTGGGGGGGGGACACTACCGAGCTCAGCAGAAGCACCTCCAGGTGTCACGGAATGCGGGGTGCTTTCCCTTCGGTAAGAGAGAAAGCAAACGCCCCTCTGAAAATGCAACAAGACTCCGATGTTTGGCAAAAAGGAAGTCTGCTGTTGAAGTAAAAACGCTAGAAATAGGGGGCAAACCCTAAAGCCAGCACATAGACAGAAACCTGCAAGACCGGAAACTGTGCTCCTCACAGTGGGATGGATGTAGGACGGACACGTGCCTTGTGATCCGAGGGACCCTGGGCTCCCCCACGCTGCCTGTGACTGGCCACAACCCCCCGTCCTATCCCCGTACCCGAGTGACCGAGGGAAGGTTCTAGAAAGATCCTATCACTATGCGACCCTATAGCTTCTCCTGTTGGCTCATCTGTCTCAGATTTGAGTTGCCCTGCTGTGAGCCTTCCGCGAAATTGTTCCACAGCCGGCGGCCCCGTAGGCGTCTCGCACCGTGGGCAGGAGCACGTGTCCCTCCTCACTCTGAGAGAGACACATGTCCTCAGGCTCTTTCCTTCACACGCTTCCTGTCTCCCCAGGTTCCTCGCGTCACAGAGCTTCTTCCCACCGATTCCGCACATCAAAGACAAATGGAACGATACCCATCAGCCTGACCACCAGGTGGGTAAGGGTGGAGGGCAGAGCGGAGAGCCAGGACGGGGGGGCAGTGCCCCCGGGGACTCCCCTGCGTGTCCGCCCGAGGGGGACCGTGCTGTCCTTCATGGACGATGTGGCTGGGATCCCGTGTCCTGCTCGCCAGCCGACCCTGGGCATCAGGGGTTAGGGTCTTCTCTGTGAGGTGTGTCTGGGGAAACTGGGGGTGCCCTGGGGACAGAGGCAGAGGCGGGGAGAAGGGGTCTGACCCGATCTCACGGAGGGAGAACCCGAGGGCGTCCAGAAGGACCAGGGAGGGCGAGGGCTCTGCTCCCCAGACCCCGTGCGTGCACTCGTCACCTCTGACCGGCCCTGGGGCGGGGGACACGTTTCCTCCCACTGGCAGCTGCAACTCTGTCCAGGGCTGCCCCACAAGGGGAGTCCCCACTGTCTGCATCATGTCCACCTGTCTCCGTCACCCCCACCCGCAAGCCAGACAGACATCTCGTTTCCTTGTTATCTCAATGATCAATATCAGCAATATGATCGTATTATCATACACCCTGGCCCCCTCCCCAGTCCAGGGTCCCACCTAGCTCACCAGACTTGGAGAATCCCCCTTCCCCTCCCTTATGCCCCAGGACCTTTGCACCTGCTAGCGCCTCTGTCCAGATGTCCCTTTCCCAGGCGTCTCCACGGGCAGTCCCGCTGATGCCCCCGCTACAAGATCTCACTCCCGCTGGGTCCCCGGTTCCCATCTACACCCCGTGGCCCAGTACGGTCCTGCTCGCTGGGCTCCTGAAACCCCCAACACCCCCACCCTCCCTCTCCTCCTCAGGTCATCTGGGAGAACTTCACCTCGGACACGGAAAAAGGTGACAACGAAGAGATCCTCACCGTGGAAGAAGTCACAGTGGCCCCGGCGAGCCTGTGAACTGCAGGGACGCTTCCAGCCCCGGAACATTCTGGAAGCTGCTTTTTTTTTTTTAATTATTATTGTTGTTGTTTTGAGCAATTATTTATATAGTGTTCTATTTTTTTACTCTAAAAGAATGTGATATTTTGCAAAGATGCTTGTAGTCGGAGGGATCGTTGAATGCCCTTGGATCCTGAACCCGTGATGCACCTGCTTCTCCCGCAGGGAAACAAAGAATTCTCCCTTACATGATGGTGGCTCAGGTGCCCCCCTGCCAGGAGCCAGCAGGGCTGGGACGTGGATCTCTGGCGCGTCTGCTGTTGCCGTGGGAACATTGCCTTCCCCCTGTTTCTCCGCCAGCTGCAGCTCAGCCCCGCATGGGGGCCGTCTGAGGGTCTTGAATAGTTGTCTCCCCTGCAAAGTCCCATTTGCCACCTAATGTAGCATGTTCGCAGACTCCAGGAATCGGGGTGTGGACATCTTTGGGGACATTGTTCCATCCACCACGTGGGGATCGGGACGTGGACACCGTTGGGGAGATTATTCAGTCCACCACTCAGGAACTGGATTGCGTCTACCACACGGGGATCAGGATGTAGACGTCTCTGGGGACATTATTCCGTGCACCACATGCAGGTGTGTTTGGGGGCATTGCTCCATCCACCATACGTGGATCGGGACTTGGACACTTTCGTCTGCAGTCATGGGCAGGGATCGGAGGGGTCTTCTCGCGATGATCCTGAAACCAACTCTGCACCTTGACCTTTGAGACACGGCCACCCCCATGAAGGTAAGTAACGGGGAAGTGTTTAATGTGGGTCTTGTTGAGACAAGAAGCAAGTCCCATGCGGGGAGTGAACCGTGAGGAACCGCATGGTGTGCATGCAGCGGGTACCAAGTACCAAGTTTAAGAAGCCAGTGAGAGTGTCCTACGGAAACCACGGCTCACCTAGGCATTGGATTCGTTGATGAGGATGAAGCTCATGGGGAGAGCAAAATGTATTGGGAAATATAGAGAGATACATAGAGATACAGACACGGGTCTATACATAGAGAAATATACATACAGAAGAGAGAGTGAACTGTATATGTGGACACATACACAGAAACAGACACAGAGAGACCGGCAGATACATATTTAGACAAATAGGTACAGACATATATATATAAAAAGATACATATGAAAATGCTACACAGACCGATCTCAAGGAAGTGGCTCTTGCGATGGTGGCGCTGGTCCGTGTGAAACCTGCACGGCAGGTGGGCAGGCTGGAGACGCAGGTGACAGGTGATATTGCACACCCGAGGCAGAATTGCTTCTCTGGGAAACCTCGGTGTTTGCCCTTGGGACCGTCACCTGATTGGACAAGGCCCACCACCCTGTGAAGGAGCATCTCTTCAAGTTAGCAGCTTGTAGATTTTTTCTTTCTTTCTTTCTTTCTTTCTTTCTTTCTTTCTTTCTTTCTTT